TAGCGGCAGCAACACGACGCTTTGAGTCAACTAGAACTTCAAACTTTCCTTTCAACTCAACTGGTTCTTTAGAGCCAAACGCATAGATTCTAGTTTTAGTGTTTTGTAAAGAGATTTGGTCCTTTGAATTTGTACAGAGAAACTCATAGTCCTTTTGTGTCAAAATGTTCACTGAAGCTCCGGTGTCAATCAAAAACTCTACTTTCACCCCATTAATTTTGAGTTTTGTCATGGGTGGTTGCTTCACTTTCTTGGCTCTCGAAACAGCAAATATATCCTCATTGCTATCACTGTCGCTTACTTCCGGTTCACCTTGTACTGTTGGCTCAGTAGAGAGTGGTTGCTGTTGCCGATTTTGGTTCAAAGCATTCAACTTGTTTGCCTTCGATTTATATTGGTCCTGAGGCATTCGAGGTTTTCGAGAGATTGGTTTTTGTTCAGACTTACAAACTCGAGCGAAATGTCCAGTTTTTGAGCAATTATGACAGGTCTTGCCTGCAGCGGGGCAGGGCCTGCCTTGGTGGGGATACGTCCCTCCACAATTATAACAAGTTTGTGCTTGTTTACCTTTTATATCCCTTGACGGAAAATCTCGTCTGGTGTTTTGATACACAGCCTCCTGACGGTGTTGCTTTTCCATTTCTTCAGCATGGTGATCAGAAATTTCCAGTGCTCTCGCGTATTTAATCAAATCAGCCAGCTTGGGGTCATCCCGAAATGCTTTCCTTCTGAGTCGACTAGACCTGCAGTTTTCCACGATTTGTGTTTTAATCTCGTCCTCTACATTATCGAATTCGCATGTCGAGGCACGATGTCTCAGTCGTGTACAGAATTGGTCAATTGTTTCGTCAGATCGCTGGCTGACTTGGCGAAAAATATGTCGCTCGTATAGAATGTTTTTTTTTCGGCGCGAAATACTCTGTCAATTTCTCTATGGCTTTATCGAAGTCGTTCTCTTCTCCCGTATCAGAGAGCGTGGCAAATATTGTTTCCACCTTTGGACCGGCCAGGTATAACAATAGAGCTCGTTTCCTTGCTTTGTCTTTGATGTCAAAAGCGACTATACATCGTTTGAATCGTTGCAGCCATTCTTTCCACTGCGAAGCCAGCGAACTTGGCTCTGAATGAGGATAAAACTGTTGAATTCCCGAGAAATCTAATCCTGCCATAGTAATCGAATGTTGAGGTTATCCTCGTCGCCAATGTTATATTGTAAGAAACAATATAGATATGTAATGTGAACGTTAATACTTATAGGAAACTATTATGAAATATATACATCGCCTTCATCTATGCCTCGTGTCTCTGTGTCTCTTCCCCGAATCCCGCTACCCAGTTCACTTCCGTCTATACGCACTTCCGCTACTAGAACACAACATCCAGCTGAGCATGCATGCTCACCAAATGGCCTTACCATTGGTACCGTCGGTACGAACAGAAAATAAGTGATTTACCATCGGTATTTTCAACTGATAACTATTGTCCTATAGATTAAAACTTAAACAAACTCGCAATATCTTATATTCATATATATCGCTATCAAAATCATATATGGATGAAAATAAGTGATTTACCATTGGTATTTTCAACCGATAGCTAACTATTGTCCTATCAATTAAGACTTAAACAAACTCGCGATATCTTATGATTCATATATACTGCTGTCAAAATCATATATGCATGGATTCTTCGTTCTCGTCAATAACCCGCAATAAATATATTATTAACATATATTCCTGTTGCGTTTTTCTTACAACCTATATACCAAGACTTAAACAAACTCGAGATATCTTATATTCATATATACTGCTGTCAAAATCATATCAGGACATATAGGATTCTTTGTTTTCATGAATAACCCGCAATTGATTTACCATCGGTATTTTCAACCGACAACTATAGAGTATAGATTAAAACTTAAACTTGCGATGTCTTATGATTCATATATATACCGCAGTCAAAATCATATATGGATTCTTCATTCTTGTCAATAACCCGGAATAAATATATTATTAGCATATATTCTGTTGCATCTTTCATACAACCTATACTAAGACTAATTAAACAAATTTGTGATGCCTTATGATTCATATATATACCACTGTGAAAATCATATATGGATTCTTCGTTCTTGTCAATAACCCGCAATAAATATATTACCTATTAGCATATATTCTGTTGCGTCTTTCATACAACTTATAGTATACCAAGATATCTACCATCGGTATTTTCAACTGATAATTATTCTCGTCAATAACCCGCAATAAATGTATTATTAGCATATTTTTGTTGCGTCTTTCTTACAACCTATATTAAGACTTAATCTTCGTTCTCGTCAATAACCCGCAATTGATTTAACATCGGTATTTTCAACTCACAACTATATACTCCTGTATAGACTAAAACTTAAACAAACTCGATGTTTTATGATTCATATATATGCCGCTGTCAAAATCATAGCTATATGGATTCTTCGTTGTTGTCAATAACCCGGAATAAATATATTATTAGAAAATACATGCATGCAGAAACCCTCGCCTTGCTGACAAAACCATTGTATTTTCCGAACATGAAGTATCTAAAGTAGTTGTCATGGTAACACGATAATTTTTTAAAAATATTCTTACAAATGAAAAATAGCCTAAAAATATCACTTTTAATTACAAAATTATCAATTTCCCAACATATATATGTTAGGTATGTTATTATACATAATATAAGCCACAATTGAAGGTAAAATTCAACCACAAACGCTTCGCAAAACGTTTTGAAGTGTTCTTTATGGAACTAAACTGCCTTTAATTAAATGGCTTTATTGATAAACTTTGAGTTTGCAATAAAATGATTTCAAATTCTCGCTTGCAAATAACTTTGCTTTCTTTTTTATTTAAAAAATTCAATATAATAAAAAAGGGAATCAATATTAAAGAATACACTGAAATTATATGATGTCTTGTTTAGTTGTTTCATATACTCAAAGGCCGTCGGGTTTTAAAGCCATAATTAAATCAATATTTAAAACAAACTTACCTTCGTTAACGTCAGCTCCCTTCTTTTAGCCGATTCTTTCGCCCTTTCTTGAAATTTACAAAATCTTGCAAAAATGAAATATATTTGCAAGAAACTTATCAATCATCAAATCAAGAAATGTTTGCTATTTCGCTGTCATTATAATGCAAACTTTAAATTGGACCAATCAGTGTCCGCTATTCATGACAGTCCGCTATATTATGAGATCAGAAAGATATTTAGAAATATGATGCTAGGCCGCATGTCAAAATAGTGCAAGAATAACCAGATGCCTGCATGAAACAGAAAAACTGAAATAGTACCGAGATCTGTAATTTATACTGACCTGAAAACTGATTGCTTAACCTGTAGTTTGAATGTTTATACGGAGATTATGCTAACCTGGATATGTAAAACAGTGTAAAGTACTAGATATTGCCACAGAAGTAAGTAATATTATCATGTAAATATCAATTGTCATCATATGCGCGTTTATAGGTATCATTGCATGTTAAATATTAGTCTTTTACATAGTTTAATTTAATTTTAGATCGTATTGTTTTCTTTGTTATTTCAATAATACATTATGCAATATCCAGTCGACGTGTTTGATTTATCGACTTTGCGAACCATATCATTCGATTTCTTGTTATTTGTAATTGTGGATCGTAAGCGTTATATAAACAATGGCCGAATAGGGCATCAAAACCTCAAAGATCACATATGTGACCATATGTGTATGTTACAGACCACCCGACTTTTCCAACTTCAATACGAGCTTTGATTCATTATTGGTTAACTTACATAAAGATGGAAGTGATAGATCGCGTTTGTATTTGCTCGGAGACTTTAACTATCCCAACATAAATTGGCAGACTAATACAACTATTGAGGAGTCTGGAATAGCGACTGATTTTTGCCAACTGATTGATTCGTATTTTCTCTCTCAATTGGTTGACGAACCTACTAGATATAACAATAATCGTACTTCAATTTTAGATTTGTTATTGTGCAACCACCCTGATGATGTTTCCGATCTAAGTATTACACAAGATATTTTTGATTCTGATCATTTTGGCATCAGTTTTCGTATCTTGACTAAAGTAAGTCGCCTCAGTCAAATTAAGCGTGTCATCTGTAACTTTAAAAATGCTAATTTTGACGGATTGAGGGAGGCGCTTTGTGATATATCTTGGGACGATTGCTTCCTTGACAGCGATAACATCAACAATAGTTTGGAGAAATGGATGAAATTATTTTATTCGATTGT